ACTTCAAAATATTATCATTATATTCATTTATGTAATTTTGAATCAAACACTTCAGCTTATTATTTATTTCATTTTAAGCATAATATATATTAAGTTATACAAAATTTAACTATAATATATTTACATATCTAAGACAATAACCAACCGAAATGAAAATAAGAAAATTAATCAAAGTTTTATTACATTTAGAATAAAAAATATTATAGCTGAATTCGAAAAATAGATATTATCCAATATACCAAATTGATAACCAAACCGATTTTGATCCAAAAAATAATTAAACTGACAATAATATATCCCAAGTCATATGTATAGTTAAAATAATATAATATTTATTAATATAAATTATACATATAAATTTATTCAAAACGAAAACTAAATATCAATTAATTATTATAAAATTTTACTTTTATGAATATTCATACCCGTGCATGAGCACGGGAAAATCACCTAGTATACCATAAAAATAAAGACCCGCCCAGTCGGGCGGGTTATGATCTAGTACTTATTGTGTCTAACCCAAAAAGAACCGACCCAAATAGACCCGGATCCGAAAAGAACTGACCCGATAAGTATCGATTTGTACCCGACTTATAAACATTTATATCCAAAACTATTATTTTTGTGTTATGTTTTATATATCTATACTATTTTATAATTTAGTTGAAATATCTTTTGTTAACAATATTTATTATTATTTGTAACATTTTTAAGTAATATAAAGTTTTAAAATGTAAAATTTAGAGTTGAAAAAAGTTTTATTTACTTATTAATAGTTTAATTTAAATTGTTTTATAAAATTTTAGATATATATGAAAAATATTGATTGAATTTGAATGAGTTTGGGTATTACGTATTTTTAGATTCTAAATAGCCGAACCCGATCCGGACCTGATATAAATCCGAAAATTATGGGTATTTTACGGGTATTAGAATTATTATTTTATAAAAGTTTTACATATATATAAAAAATATTGATTGAATTTGAGTGAGTTTGGGCATTATGTATTTTTTAGATTTTAAATAGCCGAACCCGATCCGGACCTGATATGAATCCGAAAATTACGGATATTTTACAGGTATTAGAATTATAGACCCGAACCGAACCGGACGTGGTAAGACTCGACCCGGAACCGACCCAAAAAATCATAGGTATTCATATATGTCTAAATTTCCAAGACCTGAAAGACCCGGATCCGATAGGACCCGACCCGAACCCGACCTGAGTACCCGGATGCGAGGCCTAATTACCTTCCTCTTCTAAGTCTTCTTATAGAGACAAAGACCACTACTATATTAACTTACCTCTCGTACAAGATATCTTCCAAAGAGAAACAATAAAACAAAACTGGAACCTTTCTTTTTTTTCACTTAGTAGTTATGGTGGTTCTACTGAACTCACGTCCTTGTTTTGTTCTTATTCTACTTGCAGCATTCTCATGCTTCTCTCTGAGGCTGTGTTTCGGCGAAGACAGAATCACTTTCTCAACTCCGATCAAAGACTCAGAGACAAAGACACTTCTCTGCAAAAAGGGTATTTTCAGGTTTGGTTTCTTCACTCCTGTAAACTCCACTGCTAGGTTACGTTATGTTGGGATTTGGTACGACAAGATTCCAGTTCAAACTGTTGTTTGGGTTGCTAACAAAGACACTCCCATCCACGACACTTCCGGTGTTGTCTCCATCTCTGACAACGGAAATCTCGTGGTTAAGGATGGTCGAAACCGTCTTATATGGTCTACGAACGTCACAGTACCAGTAGCTCCAAATGAAACTTGGGTTCAGCTAATGGAAAATGGGAATCTTAGGTTACAAGACAACAGAAACAACGGTGAGATTATATGGGAGAGTTTCAAGCATCCCTATAGCTCTGTCTTGCCAAGAATGAGTCTTCTGACCAACAGTAAAACCGGAGAAAACATTGGTCTTACTTCTTGGAGAAGCCATACAGATCCTTCAACAGGGAATTATACGGTTGGTCTTGTCGCTTTCCCGTTTCCTGAGCTTCTAATCAGGAAGAACAATTCTACACAATGGCGTAGCGGTCCCTGGAACGGTCAGGTTTTCATCGGTTTACCGGATATGGATTCTCTTCTCAACATTGATGGGTTTAACCTCAACAATGATAACCAAGGAACGGTTTCATTGAGCTATGCTAATGAATCTTTCATGTATCACTTCAACTTGGATCCTAATGGAGCTATCTACCAGAGAGATTGGAGTACTTCTATGAATGATTGGAGAGTCGGTGTTCGGTTCCCATCTACAGATTGTGATGAATACAGTAGATGTGGTCCATATGGGAGCTGCAATTACCGGGAAGATCCACAATGTAAATGCGTTAAAGGTTTTGTGCCGAGGAATAACACAGAGTGGAGTGGTGGAAATTGGATTAGTGGATGTGTTAGAAGAGCTCCATTAAGGTGTGAAAGACTTAGAAATGGGACTAATGGAGGGAAAGAAGATTGGTTCTTGAAAGTGCAGAAGATGAAAGTACCGGTGAATGTGGAAACTTCTTTAGCTAATGCGCAAGCTTGTCCTAAGGTTTGCTTAAACAACTGCTCTTGCACAGCTTATGCATATGATCAAGGAATTGGATGTATGCTTTGGAGCGGTAACTTAGTTGATATGCAATCATTCTTGGGAAGTGGCATTGATCTTTATATTCGGCTTTCACATTCTGAACTCAGTGAGTAAAAGAAACTCTAATAGTCTCACTTTTCTTCTTTAGTTTTACTTCATTGACTTATGATTTCTCACCAAATCTTGTAGAAGCACATAGCAAACGAGCAATAATGATCACAACACCTGTTCTAGGCGTTGTGTTTGTTGCTGCGGTCTGTGTTTTGTTAGCATGTCGGAAACTCAAAAAGCCTCCAGGTTAGAGTTTTTTCTTTTGCTTGCTTGAGATTGTTTCTTTTACTATAATTTGTTTGCTTCTTTAATCATTTCCTTAGGAGAACCAAAGAAAGATAGAAGCGTAGAGCAATTGTTAAAGAGAATGGAAGAACTTAACCGTGGTGATGAGGCTACTTCTAACCAAGTTAAGCTAGAGGAGCTTCCTCTCTTTGAGTTTCAAGTGTTAGCTACTGCAACTGATGACTTCTCTCTTAGAAGCAAGCTGGGACAAGGCGGATTTGGTCCTGTTTACAAGGTAAAGACACTAAACAAAACACTTTCTGAAAAGAGATTTGTATACAAAAATCTCATATTTATATTTTTTTTCTTCAGGGAAAGTTACCTGAAGGGCAAGAAATTGCAGTGAAGAGGCTCTCACGGGCATCAGGACAAGGACTTGAGGAGCTTATGAACGAAGTGGTTGTGATTTCGAGGTTGCAACATAGGAATCTGGTGAAGTTACTTGGCTGTTGCATTGAAGGTGAAGAAAGGTTGCTAGTCTATGAATATATGCCAAAGAAAAGCTTGGATGCATATCTATTTGGTAAACTTAATCCTCTGTTTCATAACTCCGTTTTTTACTCTGTTCTTAACTCTGTTTTTACATGGGAAAGCTAATGATTTTGTTAGCTCTTTTTTCAGACCCATTGAAGCAAAATATTCTTGATTGGAAGACTCGGTTGAACATAATGGAAGGAATTTGCAGAGGTCTTTTGTACCTTCACAGAGATTCAAGACTAAGGATCATACACAGAGATCTGAAAGCCAGTAACATTTTGTTAGATGACAATCTGAATCCCAAAATATCTGATTTTGGGCTTGCAAGAGTTTTCAGAGCTAATGAAGAGGAAGCTAACACAAGAAGGGTTGTAGGAACATAGTAAGAATCCATTCCCATTATACAAAAACAAATATTTTGAAAACCAGTTTTATCATAACCTATTTGTTGTTATTGCAGCGGCTATATGTCACCTGAATATGCAATGGAAGGTTTGTTTTCAGAAAAGTCAGATGTTTTCAGTTTGGGGGTTATACTTTTAGAGATCATAAGTGGTAGAAGAAACTCTCACAAGGAAGAGAATAATCCAAACCTTTTAGCTTATGTAAGTGAGTGTGCTAATAATCTATTAACTTTTCTAGCTTTGAAACTTACCTGTAAATTTGATCTGTTTACAGGTGTGGAAGCTGTGGAATGAAGGTGAGGCCGCTTCTCTAGCAGATTCAACCGTGTTTGATGAGTCTTTCGAGAAAGAGATAAGGAAATGTGTTCAGATTGGTTTGTTGTGTGTGCAAGAAGTTGCAAACGATAGACCCAATGTTTCAACCGTGATTTGGATGCTAACCACAGAGAATATGAACCTCCCTGAGCCGAAGCAGCCTGCGTTTATAACAGGAAGAGAAAAGTCTGAGGCTGAATCTTCTGACCAGAGTAGTCAAATAGTCTCTGTCAATGATGTGAGCCTCACATCTGTTACAGGGCGTTAAGCTCACAAAGCCAATCTGAAATTTTATAATTAAATAGGTTGAATAAAATGTGTGGAGTGTTATAAGTCAATATAGACATTATGATATGTTTTAAATAAGTTGTAAAGGCTAAAAATATGCAATGTTTATACAATATATGTTTTGATAAACTCCTATGTTTACAATTTTTGTTATTCTGCGCATGGATTAAAGAATAAGAGATGTATTCAGATTCATTGTTTACAGATTTGGTCTTATTACCTCAGTTAAAAACACCTTGTGTGAAACTGAGCTGTGAAGATTGATAATTTCAATAGATACTACTACTACTGAAACTTGACCAACCTGAAGCTAAAGGAGAAAAACAATACCACAAAGAGAAGCCAATACATCTTTACTTATGCAAACTTTTCCAGACATCTTAATTAATGTAATTATGTTTTAGTTTGCAATTAGTACTATAGTAAGGTTCTTAACGACCTTGAACATCAGTGAAGGTGATGTCATTAACAGAAGTACCAGGTTCTGCAATGAGCAAAGCAACATTCTCTCGGCCTCTCCTTCTCACTGCAGTAAACGCAGGAAGCTTCGGATTTGGAAGATCACTAGCGTTTTGACCCAACATGATGAGAAGAGAGGACATCTCTACTCTGTCCGAAGCGTTTTCTTGCACACAAAGCAACCCAATGTGTATGCACTTCACCACCTCGCCCTCATCATAACTCTCTTGGTCCATTAAGTTGTCTATGATGTCTTTTGCTTCACCTTTTTCCCATAGGTCCCAAATCTACAAAGATGTAAAAAAGGGAACAAGCATTTGCTTATGTTCTGCTTTTTATTCCTCTGTTTTTATTTCAAAAAATTGCAGTTTAGTACTTACGTGTCCTACAAGGTTTGATGATTCCTCGTGGAAAGCACTGTTTTTCTTTCCACTTATGATCTCTAACATCAATACTCCAAAGCTGTAGACGTCGGATTTAACAGAGAAGTGACCCTCCATTGCATACTCAGGTGACATATATCCACTGTGACAGTGAGATGAAACAACTTAGGGTTTCGAACAGTTTTATAAGTATTAATTAGTAAAGAGTTAACTCACATTGTTCCAACGACCCGATTTGTGCATCCTTCGATTTGGTTGCCTCCAAAGATTCTAGCCATGCCAAAATCCGAAATCTTAGGAATCAGTTCGTTGTCAAGAAGTATATTGCTGGCCTTGAGGTCTCTGTGGATTATCCTCAGTCTTGAATCTTGATGAAGATACATTGTTCCACGAGCTATACCTCGGATGATTCCCTTCCGTTTTGGCCAATCCAACGCCGCTCTCTGCTCTTCATCTAAGAGGACATACCAAACATCTCAAGTCATTAATCTTTTTGTAGAGGGAAAGTGTTGAAAATGTTGAACTTACTGAAGATGAAATAGTCTAGGCTCTTGTTTGGTAAGTACTCGTATATCAACATCTTCTCTTCCAGCTCGACGCAACATCCTAAGATCCTCACGAGATTTCGATGCTGCAGCTTTGATATCAACTTGACCTCGTTCTTGAACTCTTCCATTCCTTGCCCTGAGTTTTTCGACAACCTCTTTACTGCTATCTCCATACCGTTTTGTAACACGCCCTGAAAATAGAAACGAAGTAACCGTTCATATAATATATGTTTGGTATAAGTGAATATGGATTAGTTCCATACCTTATAAACAGGTCCAAAACCACCAGCTCCAAGCTTGTTATGAGGAGAAAAGTTATCTGTGGCTGCCGCGATCGTGTTGAGATCAAAGAGAGGTAACTCCCTGTTTCCGGGCTTGTCATCTTCAAATTTAAATGAGTCTTCAAAATCAAAAGATACCATGGAGAAGGTTGTTGAAGATCTTCTAAGCATGTTTGACTCTGCAGTTGAGAATGTTTTAAATAGGTAGTTTCGTGCTACGCAAGAAAGTTATGAACCTAAAAGATAGATACATATACTTACTTCGCCGCTTCCTTACGAAACAGAACACAATGACCATTAGTAGCATTACAGCTGCTACCAAACTGATGAGAACCAGAACAACTCTCCTCTTCCTTGATGAGCCACTTATGTCCCACCTCGCTGAAACAAGCAAACAAAAAATCAATACCTAAGTACTTTTACTCATTCTCTTCGTTGTAATGGAAACATAATGGTTACCTAACTCTTCCTTGTCTACACGTATGTAGAAATCTTGTCCAGAATTCAAATATGTCCTCGTATCCAACATATCACCATGCCATGTCAAGCACCCTTTTTCTCCTCCCACACCTTCATGGTAAGCGCTTGCGTAAGCGACACAAGAGCAGTTACCTAAGCACCTCTGTTTACACTCCTTCAACGTTACGTTCATAGCCACACTTGCATTTGCAGTGTCAGGAATCTTTGCGTGCGTTAACTTCACAAACCCGTCTTCCTCACGGCACACTGAAGTTCTGTTTTTCCTTGAACAACCTCCAGTATAGTCCCTCAAGAACCAGTGCCGAGAATACTTAGGCTCAAAACCAGGTAAGCACGTGCACTCAAACGTCTCTGAGCTCGTGGGATCGCAGAAACCGTTAACCCCACAGTGTGCGTAGTAGTCGCATTCCTGTTTAGGAACAGACCAGAACTCGTTCCATCTCTTGTCCCTAGCGATCCATGTGAACCGTTGTAAGGTTCCTCTCTCGTTCACTTTCATTCTCGTTATGACTGAAGCATCAGTCACACCGTAAGTGAATGATACCTCGTCTTGATTATTCACAAACGAGTTGTTGAAAATGTATCCTCTGTTCATTTCAGGCATACCGCTCCATCTCAGCCCGGTCCATGAACCGGTACGCCACCATTGGATCATACCCTTGTGTAGAATCATCTGTGGAAACCCTCTAGGGTCCATGCGAAATGTATGGTTTCCGGAGCCAGGGTCGTTAGGAGATCTCCATGATGTCAGAAACCGATCTAAACCGTCTTTTCGAGTGAAACCTAACCTCATAAAGGGGAGAAAAGTGTCTGTAGGATGATCAAAGCTCTCCCAAAAGCCTCTCCCTGTGAGTGAATCAAGTAGAACAAGGTTTCCTATATTAGAGAGTCTTGCAACTAAAGTTGGTTGCAAGATACTATCGGAAACATTAGTTGACCAGAGAGGCTCTGTTCCATTAACTGATGATGCATAGACACATAGATTGCCTCTGCTGCTGAACTTTACCACACCGGATGTGTCATTAATAGGATGGTCTCTGTTTGCAACCCATACAACAGTCTGCTCAGAGATTTGAGCATACCATATTCCAACATACCGGAGCTGCGAACCCCGGAGGCTTAAGAATCCAAAGGCGAATCTCCCCCCTTCAGAGAGTATGACTTCACCATCTTTCAATGACTGTCTTCTCATGATTGTATCATTGGAGATACAGGATTGGAGCAGGGAGCAAAAGAAGATGACAAAGACAATCTTCATTTTTATGTTTGTTTCTGAGCAGTAGGTTGATGTGATGATACGTATAAATGATGTGTAGTATTAAAAGCCAAGTTGAACACCATTAAACTAACAACATTAGCTGTAAAGTTCCGATAATTACTCAAAGGATGCAACTTAAGAACTGATTCATGTGACTTTGAACATGACACAGAACTTAAAGAACACCAAGAGATTTCATTATGGCTTCAACATTGATGGATAACACTTATGTATCATTCAATAAGCAATGTTATGAATTTTAAATCTGAGAGAAAGAATTAAAACACTTGGTATTGTGTTTTCGTTACTGAGTATATGCGGGAATAAACCTGAATAGTGGATAAGATCAGTTCTTGACTTTTTGATGGATTCATTAAATACACAACAATAACCTTAACTAGCCAAAACAGAGCAAGTAGTAAAAGCCATCCATCTCGGAATTCATCACAAGATGTCAATTATTTATTCAAGCTCTATTCCTAGATTATAACCTCTAACTCAAGATGTATACACTACTGCTTTTATATCAAGCTTAAAGAGGAACAAAAAGGACTCATATCCATTTATATCTCATACAATAAAACTTTCCAGATTCTGAATCTTTGAAAGTTTTAATCCTATGGATTACTCTTACATACAAAAGAATACAGCTTAATTAGTTTGTTGATATTTTTCTATTAATTGGTTTTTATGCAACTTACAGAGCTAACGTCCTGTGATTTCTGTGATGCTCATATCGTTAACGGATGCTCTTTGGTCACTATGCCAAGGTGATTCAGCGTCTGGCGAGACCCTTCTAGCTATAAACGCTGGCTGCTTTGGCTCAGGAAGATTTGAGTTCTCTGTACTTAGCATCCAAATTACCGCTGAAACACTCGGTCTATCATTAGCGTGATCTTGTACACACAATAGTCCGATGTGCACACATCTTCGTATTTGGTTTTCAAAACACTCTTCAAGGATGACAGGATCCACAAGAGTGGTGGCCTCGCCATCATTCCATAGTTTCCATGCCTAAGAAAAAAAAAGTTAAGGTTTCAAGAATGGTGTTACAAGCTTTTGTAGAAGGAAAGCTCATTAGTATTCTTACATAAGCTGAGAGATTCAGATTCTGGTCATCATTGTTAAAGCTTGAGTTTCTTCTTCCACTCACAATCTCCAAGATTATGACTCCTAAGCTGAAAACATCTGATTTCTCTGAGAATAGCCCTCCTAATGCATACTCAGGTGCCATATAACCACTGTGAAGGTCATGCTTTTGTCAGTTTAGCAAAACATCAACCAAAATTCAATGAAAACTGTGTACTCACTATGTTCCAACCACTCTTAGCGTGCTAGCTTCATCCTCATCCCCCCGGAAGATCCTAGCAAGCCCAAAATCTGATATCTTCGGGTTTAGATTCTCATCTAGCAAGATATTACTGCCTTTTAAATCTCTGTGTATGATCCTAAGTCTTGAATCTCTGTGAAGGTACATAAGACCTCTGCAAATCCCATCTATTATGTTAAACCGAGTCTTCCAGTCAAGAAGTCTTTGCTTCACCGGGTCTGGATTAACACACAGCAAAGAGAGCATTAGCCAACAAGTAAATTACAACAGGACAGAGTTTAAGTTATTACCAGATAAGCATGCATCCAAAGAATTCCCTGGCATGAACTCATAGACAAGCATCCTTTCTTCTCCTTCAATGCAGAAACCAAGCAATCTCACGAGGTTCCTGTGCTGCAACTTAGAGATCACAACCACCTCGTTTACAAACTCTTCAAGTCCTTGTCCAGATGTTTGTGAGAGCCTCTTCACAGCGATCTCTTGCCCTTCTCGTAACCTCCCCTGCACATGAAAGTAGAACCAATCAATAACTCCCAAGATCAGTTTTGTAATCTCTCTTACTAATGAAGCAAACCTTGTAAACGGAACCAAAGCCTCCTTCCCCTAGTTTGTTTGTGACAGCGAAATTTTCGGTAGCTGCAGCTAAAACTTGATACTCGAACAACGGTAGCTCTTTAAGCTTGTTTTGATTCACAGCGATGGCTCCAGACTCGTTGCTATTTAAAGCTTCCATCCTCTCAAACAGTAACCTCGCGTTTCTATTCTTCTCTGTTAAAAGCAATGCAAAAAGAAGTTAAACCTTTTGTTCAATCTAAACTAGTTATAGAGACATGATTACATTACATATAACTCTGACCTCTACGTTTAGCTACCTTCCTCAGTACTAAAAGAACAATTACAGCGACAAGAAACGTGCTTCCTACCATAGTGATTAGAATCACAAGTGATCGATTGCTTGAGGTTTCTGTTGAGGAACATATGTGAGTTATTACACTGTAGTTTAGTAAAATGATGCCAAACTGTTACTTACCGAGCTCTGAACCAGCTACACGGACGTGAAGAGTAACCCCAGAACCCAAAAACTCTTGCATATCGATCAGTTCTCCACTCCAAAGAAGACATCCCAATCCTTTATCATAAAAGTAAGCAGTACAAGAACAGTTTCTCAGACAGCTTCCAGGACAGTCCTGCTCATTGACTTCAGACCTCTGTGGATTGTTGGGAACTTTCATCTTCTTCAATCCTAAAAACCCATCTCCCTCGTTACTTCCACTATTGTTGCCTCTCTGGCACTGCAACAGCGTCTTTCTTACGCATCCCTGAGTCCAGTTCCCTCTGTTCCACTCGTCTAAACTCCGTGGCTCAAACCCTTTAATACACTTGCAAGGCGGATCTAAACCAGATTTGCAACTAGTGAACTGGCCACACTTAGCATAGATATCACAGTTTATCGGAAACATCAACCCCATACTCCACTCTTGGTTAGCCTTGCTCCAGTACTTCTCCATCGCGTGCCCTTCGGTGTCCAAGAGGAAATGATACATTGACTGGTTATAACCAAACAACATGGAGACAGATCCTCTGTTGTCATTAGCAAGTTGAAACCCGTAAAGATTGATACGTGAGTCCCTTTCCGGTAATCCGAGAAAGTTTTGACCATTCCACGGGCCGCTACGCCATAACATAAGACCGTCTTTCCATAAGGCAAGCTCTGGAAATGGTAAGGGAATCACACCTGCTGAGTAGCGTCCTGGTGAAGGATCAGAGAGGCTTTTCCATGATCTAAGCATGAGTCTCTTCCCTGTTGTTGCGTCGGTGGAGATTGTCATTGTTGGCAAGAATGCGTTCTGAGGATGTGAGAAACTCTCCCACAGTTTCTTATCCCCTTGAAGTACTTCAAGGTTCCCTGTACTGAGAAGTTTTGCGTATGTGGTGTTAGGAGATCCTAGTGTTCTTGAGAGGTTTGTGTACCAGTGAACATGTCCACGACCATCCATGACAACGAGATTCCCGTCTTTGGATATAAGAATCACACCGGAAGAGTCGTTGATCGGGCTGTCTTTGTTAGCTACCCAAACCACGGCCTGCTTCTGGACAGGAATGTTATTGAACCAAACTCCAGCGTAGCGACCCGTGGAGTTAACAGGACTGAAGAATCCAAACCTGAAAGTATTTGGGCTGGAGACGAGCGTCTCTGAGTCTTTGAGGTTGGTAGAGAATGAAAGTACGTCATCCACAGACAAACAAAACCTCAAAGACACAAAAGACAAGGTAAAAAGAAGAAGGAAATGAGAATGACCCATGTGTTTCTCAGGAGTTGAACTCGTCCTTTTCTGTTTGAGGGAAGATTAAGCTTCATAATATTGTGTATTTATATGTATCCAAAGAGTTGAAAAATGTATTTGACGTTCGTTAGTTTTGAATCTTCTTTAACCTTTATCACCGACTTGTGCCAAAAGTTGACCTTCCTACTACGAACACTACTGGAGTGTAAAAGACGATATGAATATTATCTTGGAACCGTCAAAGACGCTATGTTTGTGTAGCTGAATTTAATCAACCGCTACGTTTGAAACATTTAAATCCTTTTCAACTGTTTTTTTTCTTCTCAAGGACACAAACACAAGACACCGAATCCATTCATCTCTGAACTTCCACACAGTTCAAAACAAAAACAAAAACACAGACACAAGACCATACTTACAACTCAAAGATCAGAAAATCATCCCAAACATCAGAAGATCAAGCACCGATCAACAACACAAACCAAGCATAAACGCTTATCTTCTCCTTCTATGTCTCCTTAGGGAGGTCTCCTACTGCAACATATAAACTGACTCAACATTAGTTGTCATCACAGAAGCAAAACAATGATTCTGAAAGATGTATACACACATTTATTATACACTAGCTAAGAGAAACATATTTCTAATCAAATTAAAGTTGACCTGCTTGTTGCTGCTGCTGCTGCTTATCCGAAGCATCATGATACTCTTCCTCAGCAACCTCAGGAACCGTATGAAGCTTATCACTTTCCACCAAACTCTCACCACCATTCACACCACCTTTCTCATCCTCTCCGTCCTTATCATCAGGAAACCTAACAACCACCACAGGACAAGCACAATGATGAACAGAGTAATCACTAACACTCCCTAACCTCCCTTTACTGCTCCTCTTCGTCGCACCAAATCCTCTGCTCCCCATGATCAACGTACTAAGCCCTAACCTCTCAACCTCCAAACACAGCCTCTCCTTCATATCGTGATCTTTCACGATATGTATCTTAAACGGAATCTCTCCTTCCACCAAAGGCTGAGCAACGTCGCTAGCCTTTTTATTAGTGAAGACGTCGAAATCGTCTTCTAGCTTCTTCTGAGACTCTTCGTTCTCAGGATCCCACTGCGGAGACAAGTCAATGGCTCCCCAGTCGGCGCCGTAGAGGACGCTCGTCGGCTGGACGTGGAGGAGGACGACGGCGTCTCCTGATCGGAGGTAGTTTTGGACTGCCCATTGGACTGCGTGGGCGCTCTCGTCGCTTAGATCGACGGCGATCCCGATCTTGCGTTGAGCTCCGGACGTCGGTGTTGTGACCGGGAACCTTGGGGAAGAGGGTTGCACGGTGACGACGGTTGGGGATTTTCTCGGTGATTTTCTCGGTGATTTTCTCGGTGAAGCCATGTTTTTTGTCGGCGATGAAAGAAAGTGTTTTTTTTTTCTTTGGGAAATGGAATGAGTTTTGGGGTTTGACGGTGGAGATACGGACAAGGAGAGAGAGAGAACAAAACAGTGTTCTTGTTGTTTTTTTTTTTTTTAAGTTTCTAAAGAACCGTTGGATTGATGAGTTGAATATCTAACGGCTATAGAGGAGGTTGTAAATCTTAGTTAAATAGTAACGGAAACAGCTGATAAACCGGAAGAGAATCTGATTAATGGGCTCATTAATAGGATTTTCCAAGATTATGCTTTTTTTAAAAAATAGGCTTATTAATTGGCTTAAATGTGTCCTTACGCAACGTTTGGGCGAGGCCTGGTAGATAGAAAAATTATACTAACTTTTATGAATGGATGCTTCTTAGTTGGAAAAGCTTTATGTAATTTATTGGCCAATTCTATTTTTAACAGTAACTAGAATTTGACCCACGCAACCGCACGAGTGTTTGTTTTCGTTTATAGTTAGTTATATAAACATTTTGTTTTCACTTGTAAATTGGTATATATTATAGTAATCACATATTTACGATATGTATAGTAAATGTTTTTCATACATAATAATATTATATAATAAGTGTATTAATCAAATAGATTGTTTCAAAATTTCTATATTATACATGTTTTTCAAACATGTGTTTGTTTCTTCTTCTATATTTTATTCTTTGTTAGATTAGTATTTCATTTTTAGATAAAATAATATAAATAGAGCTTGATTAAATATTAGTGTATTTTAATTTGCAAAGATAATATAAACTTCGAAGAAATTTTTGCTAAAAACTAAACTTATAGCTTCATAAACTAATATTATAAAGAATTTTATTAAAAAAGAATTTTTTAAACAATATAATTTTAAAAATTTACATCGAAATAAATTTATCTAATATATATAGCGTGTAAATTTTGTTAGAGTATATAAATATTTCATATTACTAATCTGTGGTTTTTGTTAATATATTGTGTATGCATTTAACTATTATTGACATATTTCTTTATAATAATAGAAGATTCCTAAACTTATATCTATTGACATATTTTGTGTGACTAAATTGGAAGGTGTGAGGTAATTTACCAAAACCAAATTATTAAGCGTATTATAAGATATAATAATGATAAGATTATTAGAGAGTTAATGTAACATAACTTTCTATTAATAGTTTATTTTTAAAAAAAACACACATGAAATCAAGTCATGATTTCTATTTTAATATATATTAGATTTTGACCCGCGCTTGAAAGCGCGGAAATTTTTTATGCTTAAATATTTATATAATTGAGTTTGGTCTTAATTTAAAGAATGTTTTGGTATAAAATCAATTCACCAAAATTTGTGGTGATGATTATTTTTCATTAGTTTTAGTTTTAGTTTTTATTTTTAGATTTTGTTTTAGATTTTGGTTTTTGGTTTTTAGTTTTTAAGTTTCTACTTTTAATTTTCAGCTTTTGGTTTGTGTTTTTAATTTTTAGACCCGTTGAGTTAGTTTGAATTGATATTACCAACAAACAAATCCTAAATAATCGAACATCTAATTTAAAACTAAAAAGACGACAAAAAAATTTTCAATAGTTTATTTTGTAAATAAACAAAAGAAAAAAAAAATATAATTTGTGTTTTCATCTTTTGGTTTTTAGATTTGGTTTTTGGTTTTGCTTTACATTTTTTTTTAAATCAGTAAATTATTTAAGAAAAATAAAAGAATAAATTATTTAAAAGTTATCATTGAAATTTATCAAAATAAAGTGATTGTTATTTAAAATAAAAATACATTAACATGTTTTAAAGTACATGATTTAAATAAATGATTAATAATATACAATTTTGTTTTGTTAAAAATATTAAATATCTTTTGGGCCTAAAAATAATAATTGATTTTTTGATCTATTAAGGTGGAAAATCTATTCAATGTTTTTGGAGTTTTTCCTTAATACTAAGCCCAAAAACCAAACTATATAATTTGTTCTAAAAACAAAAGTAAGCCCAAGACTATATCACATAAATAACCATCGGTTTAATTTAAGTAATGCGGTTTACTTAATTATATGGCTTGTGTTACATATTTGTAACACTCTAGAAATGGTCCAAATTTAAATGACAACTTGTATCACTAGATAAAAAGAATGACTCTATTTTAATAGAGTAGCAGATACTTTGGCAACTAATTTATTGGTTCTATTCAATAGAAAATATAGTGTACGTATCTAGTATATTTTGAAATTGACACCTTAACAAGACAACACTATAACTTTGCCAATAGAGATACTAGGTTTTTGGTCTTTATATGGGGTTTTCATTTATTGATGAAGTTGATAAACTGAAGCAACATCTTTCTTAGAAATTTGTTGATAACTAAATTCATGTATTCTATGTTTATTCATATACTTTTTTATTTGAAACGAGTGTTGTGTGTATTCTTATATAATCAATTCATCTTATTTTTTAAAAGATTGTAACTAAGAGTAGGTTTATCGGCGTGTCTTAAGGGGTAGTTAAGCAAAAATTGCAATTAAAATAAATGGGAAAAAGAAAATTAAGCAAAACACGTCTCTCCATCAAGGTCTCGAGAGCACGTTCCTTAGCGAGCACGTGTCAAAATATCATTTGCCGGAGGAGCGGTGACCCCTTTCGTCCTCTATTCTTCCCTTTTTCATTTTTTTTTCACTTTTCTCTTCTCTCCGTGGCGAAACCACGACTCCTCGACAAAACGGCAAGGTCTATTCCGGTGGTTCCCGGCGAGCAAGAACGGCGACATATCTCTCTATCTGTGGGTATATCTCATTATGCATGTCTTGATTCTGATTTATTTTGATTTATTTGATCTGTTTTGATCTGGATTGATTTATTTGATTGGTTTGATCTGTTGTGATTTGAATATTCATCGTGGATTTTTGTGTGAGAATATTGATCAAAATCGTTTGTTTTCCTTTTTCGATCAGGGAAGCTTCTGTGGCAGAAAATTACGAAGCTGGTGGAGGTGAAGTTTTGGTTAATGATGAAGATAATGATGGTTGGATTGCTACTCATGGAAGGCTTAAAGGTTTACTTTATATCAAATCTGCAAAACTATCTTCTCAAGTATGATGTTTTACATGATCAATGTGTCAATAGATAGAGGCATGACAGAAGTAGATTGTGATCAGGGAAGCTGCTATGGCAGAGGATTACGAAGCTGGTGTGTTTGTGTCATTAGGTCGGCCTCCTCTTCCTTCTTTGTCCTCATTTTTTAACATATAAATCTTTATAATTGTTTTGATTTGTTTCTGTTTTTTTGTCTTGAGGTTGTTTGATCGAGATGAAGATGCCGCTTGATCTCAAACACAGTAGGTGAGAGAAAAGGCCTACGATTAGTTCATACAGGTAAACTCCTCTCTTTACTTTGAGCAATCTGATAAAGCATTGTATTAATTCGTGGGTCTGTGTTTGGTTTAGGTAATAAATTGATGTTACAGTGGTTAGATAGAAATGAGATTATGGTTGGCTTTGGGTAATAACTTTTTTTATGGTTAGATAGATATGAATGGAATACATGATGAATGTGTTGGTTAAAAGTCTAATCCATCTTCTCTTCAATAATTTTTTTTTTATGGTTAGATAGATATGAATGGATTACATTGATGAATGTGTTGGTTAAACTTACAGCTGTGAGTACCGCCACCTGGGTTCGAATCTCGGCCACTGGGGAATTAACATTTCGGCATCGCCAGGGACAGAGGACCGACACGTGGCAACACGTGACTAGTCTGGATCACTTCTGTGAGGCCAGGATACCTCTGTATAATTCAAAAAAAAAAAAAAAAAAAAAAAAAACTTAAAAGTCTAAATCCGTCTTCTCTTCAATGCATCGAAGCTTCTCTTCAATGTATTAAACTCCCTCCTTCTCCTGTGTCTTTAAATCAGTTCTCACCGTCTTCTTCTCTTCCCAATTTATTTTATTTCTATCTTCCTTTTGAGTTTGCTTTCGAGATGGATTTTGAGAACATGTGGTCTATGAAACAACAAGATCTCGCTCAGAAAGAACGCTTGTCTAAGATGAGACTACTAGACAGCCTGATAGCCAAAAAAGAACCTCTTCTTGAGTATGAGGAAGACCTCAAGAAAAAGCTGATTAATGTTCTGTTCTCTTGAACTTTCAAGTACTGTTTTCATGGTGATTGTGAGGGGTAAAACTCACTTCCAAGTTTAGGTTAGGTATAGATTGGGAAAAGATAATCGTGGGCCGAATCCTGTTGGAACTTGTATGAATGAATACGTTGTTTATATTGATTTTTGGTAATAAAAGAGTTTACAAAGATGATCTTGACGATCTGAATAGAAAGAACAATGAATTGTAGAGAATGACTAAGAACAAAGTGTATTGGAGTCTCTCTATCTTGAATGAGTCGAATCCCCTTCCTCTGATCTCTTCTCTTCTTTATATAGCACTAGGTCACGTCCAACTTCTTCCGACGAAGCCTCCATGATTATCTCCATGAGTTGCGGGATTCGCAACAGCTTCCGCTTGACTAAGTCTTGCACGTCTCTCCGGAGCTGTTTCTCGCTAGCTGTTTTGAAAATGAGGTCCCGAATCTTTTGTTCGTGACCTGTTTTTATCGATAGGTAACGATTTCATTTGACCCTCACTTGAGGGGAGGCTTCCTAATGGGCTCGTAATGCTTTGCAAACGGTTTCTACTATTCGGCCCATTAATTCAGCTAACGGGCTAAATTCGGGCCCAACAGTTGCCCCCAGCTTTCGAGATAAGATCTCTTTTCTCGGAAGCTACGGTGTAACCGCC